TTTATTGGACGCATCATATTGGCACTGAAGTTTCCCGCACTAATAGCCTAATTAAAGTGTAACCATTTCCCTCCCCAAGTCACATTGCCCAATTAAAACAGTCGGGGGCTCCTCAGTGACTCCTCTCGTCCTTCAACTGCCACCTGTTGGGATGACCTTGGGTTTCCATGGAAAGGCTTGTCGTGTCTGAAGACAGTCTATCTATTCCCCCTACCTTCTTAGAGTGTGCGGCAACTATGAAGCAGCAAAAGATGGCTTCAGCCAAGTCTGATTCAGAGTTGCTACCTGATTTACCTTCCAATGTACTTTGATACAGCCAAGTGCGTAAAGGTCCATATTTAAATATATTTGATGCAAAAGCTCACATCTTTTGTTTCTTTTTCTTTTAATTCAATATATAACAATTTACAAGTTCTTTTAATTTCATATAGAACAGGTTGGAAAAAGCCATAAAGTGGTGGAATTGCTTGCTTAGTTTGCCACAGAGCCAGTTTCACATTTTAGATTGTCTTGAGCATAGCTGGGTAATACTTTTTGCAGTACTAGTCAGATTATTTATTATACAAGAGTTAGCTTGGTTCTATTTACTGTCAGGTGGCTCCTCAAGCCAATCTGTTTCTCCATCTTATACAATTCTTAAGCTAAGATGGGAAATGAAATCTTTTACCTTTAGAGAATCCACCAAATCATCCACTAGGAAGAGGCGCCTGAGTTCCTTAATTGTGTTGTTGAGATGACCAAGCACAACATGGCTGTATTTTTGAACAATCTCCTCAGACACAGCGACATCTCTATTCAAGTAAGCACTGGAAGAGGAAATATGTTAATTTCAATACAATTAAAAACAGAGTTTTTAAGCTCTCCAAATTTTCATTCAGAGCACAATGAATATGGAGAAAAGGTTACATTATCAAATAATTGTTCAGATGGACAAGCCTTCAGAACATGCCTCTAATAAATATAGCACATGCCCCTAACAAATTATTCAAAATGGTTAAATTGCAATATTTAAAATCTGAGGGTTTATTTCTAGTAACTGACATAAATGAAAGTAAACCTGACCATTTAACAATGGTTGACAAAGAGGAAGAAATTTTTTATACATTAATGGAAAACTTAACAATTGAAATAATCTTAATCAAAACAAAAAATAAAAAATACAGCATTAAAGCTAAAAAATAACCTTTTAAAAAGTATGCACAAATATGTACTTAGCATGTTTATACACATAAAAGTTATCAGTTAGTAAAAACCATGTTAATATAGCTAACGAATTTTAATAAACTAACCCTTAACTTTATGTAGTCTTCAAAGTTCTCTGCTGCTGTGATAGTTTTTGAGCCAAAATCATTTTCCAGCACTTCTAAATAACAACGATGCCCCAACTCCATGCAAAAACCTCCACCATTTTCATTATCCATTTTTGAAAGAACAATGTTAAATAATCTCTTATAAATAAGGGATAGGAAGATTGTCTCTTCCTATGCTTTGTTTATAAGCAGACCCATAAAACATCAACTTTTCAATCCTGATGTCAGCAAAAAGTCCATAAAGATGTCTATAGCAATTCTCAGTCATCCAGGTCATGTTTGTCCCAAAGATACTTTTTCAAGAGGCAACTGGACTTTCTGGTTTTTCTTTGAAGATGTTTAGCTTCTTCTTCTTTTTCCATTAAGTTTTTTAATTTTTCCCTTCAAATACATTCACAAATATACATTCGCTTCTGAAGCTTCTTAGATCAGAAGCAAAACATCTTCAAAGAAAAACCAGAAAGTCCAGTTGCCTCTTGAAAAAGCACCTTTGGGAAGTCCATAAAGAGTTGCCAGAACTTTAAAAAAAAAAAAAAAAAAGTAAAAAAATAATGCCCTCCCACTTATGTTTATATATA